GTAGAGGGTGCAGTTTATAATGACCACTTAAAATAAATTATGTGCAACAGGTCTTTAAAGCTTCATTCCATTCCTAACCTATGGTCATTCCTGACCATATGATGTTTAGTGGAAACTTGTGAGCAACAAAGGTGAAAGAGTATTTCATTCCAGTGGGATAAATTTCTTTATAATAAGCACTTGCATTAATTTTTAAAATAGTTTATGACCACAATTCAATGAAGTTCTTTGGCTGTGAAGCTTCAAAAAGACATTCTGAAGTTGTGAAGATGCTATAAAACTGCAATCCTTTCTCTTCCTTTTTCTGAATAAGTTATGATGTGGAAGTGGCCAGTGTTGGACTGGGGTGTACAAGGTCAAAAATCACACAACACCAGATTGTACTCTTACAGCTTGTGTCTTCAAATAAACCTATTGGACTATAATAACTTGGTGTTGTGTGATTTTTTTTTTACCTTGAATAGGTTAAGCATGGCAGGATGTTGATTTATAAACAATATTATCAACGGCATGTTTAGAATCTGGAATGCATTCCCAAGAGTTAGGTGGAGGCAGATTCAATGTTGTTTTTCAAACGGAAATTAGATAGTAATGCAACGAGTAAAGGTTTGCAAGGCTTTGGGTTCAAGCCAGGGAAGTTGGACTAGCTGTGTAGTTCTTTTATGAAGAGCTTGCACAGGCAAACTGGGCCCAATGGCCTCTGTCTGTGCTCTTACATTCATTGATTCTAGCATTGCTTTAACTTATGATTAGAGCTTTAACTAACTTTTTTTCACTATTTTGATGTGTGTGATTCATAGGAATGGAAAGAAAAAGTAAAAATGTCCTTCTTACTCCATAGAGAATCTGCAGGAGAATAATACACTGGTGGTGATGTGTCATTAATAAAAAAATTAATTAATTACATTTCAAATAATGCCAGCTGGGCATCAGTGGAGAAATTAATTTCATGTTAAAGATATGTGTCTTTAGTTATTCTACTGGCCGTTTTCTAATGAGCTTCCTTAAATCTCAAGCAAAGCATTTGAAATATTTTATGTTATGGTCCTGTGGTTTATCTTTCTCCTTCAGCACAAAACCATTAGACATCACTAAAAGGTATACAGTCCTTGCTCTAAATAAACTCACTGTTCAAAGAGATCCTAATCCTTTCCCTGCTGTAAGTGTTTAAATATCTATTCATGGCTCTCATTGTTATGTTGCCAGAGCAAACATACACTATAAATGCCTGAAGCCTAAAACGATTAGTCTTTATGTCCCACCTTTTTCAGACTTCAGATTTACAATTTATTTTGGCAAGTTTAATGAATTACTGCAAAAGTGATATATATTTATTAAAATATAATGTAACATTATTAAAATTCTACCAGATACAGTTAATGCAATGAACAGATTTGAGTTGTATTTATAACGAGACATCAAAGAGCCTTGAAGGCAGGAGGAGAGTCAGCTGGCCCATGTAGGATTATGTAAGTAAAGACCTTTTATTCCAGCAGTAACTTGTATTGAACTGACTTGTGATTTTAAATTAATGTTAGCCAGCAAAAGCAGTAAAAAAACTATTAAAAACAAATCAATCAAATCTGTGAATGCGTCCAATTTATACGTTAAAGAAAGAACTTGCATTTATACAGCATCCTTTATATCACAGAAAGTGCCAAAGCATATCAGACAATTGAATACTTTGAGGAGTGGACACTATTGTTATCTGGCTAAATATGATATCCATGTTATGCGCAGCAAGGCTCCATGAACAATAGATTGATTATTCACACAATCAGTTCACGATGGGCAGTAAATGCTGGCTTAAGTTCTGACAGCCATGAAAGAATGAATTTTTAAAAATTTGATTTTGGTTAAGACTGTTTTAGTTTAAAGTTGTATTGGATGAAGTTTCTGCTCTTCATTGAATAGAGTGTAGGCAGTATTTATTTTCACCTAAATTGGTTGAATCTTAACTTTGCCTGAGCAACTTTGCAGTATTTGCAAGAGTGTCAGGATAGATTATGTCCTATGATTCTGGAGGCAGCTTAAATTCATGGACCCAGATCTTCCAATCCATATTGGAAATCTGAACTGGACAAAGAACTGCATACTTGTCTTTGAATAAGTTCTCTGTCCAATCTTCTGAGCCAGCAACCTACTTTAGACATGGAGTCCAAGCCACCAACAATAATTTGGATTAGTGATGAAACCATGCCAAAACTACCTTCCTTATTTCAAGATTTCAAGATCCCTGAGGAACTTTGATATGTGCTGAAAGCTGATAAACATCTAAGGTGAGCAGGAGGGGAAGTAGGTGGGCGAAGGGATAGGGTGGCTGGTGAGGGGGTCAGGTTAGGGTGGGGGGTTGTGGTCAGGTCAGAAACAGGAGGGCTTGTCTGGTGAGATTGGGACCAGACTGAGCTGGCTGGGAAGATGTCTTCTTTGTCCTTTTTTTGAAGGGGGCTGTCAGTCTGAGTGGTGGTGTGGAGACAGGTGGAGTTCCATTGTTAACTAGGATTTAGTGCATATTTTAACTTGTCTAACTTTTTACTCAGGGACAATTAAACTAATTGGCAAATGTAGGAGTGATACCATTAATTTTATTAGACACACTTTCAGCAATATTTCATCAATAGCTGGATATGGTCTAGTTACAAAATGCCACACTCAAGGCTAGGAAAACAGGTTGGGAGTACAACTTGAAAATTGGAGGCTACAGTGTTATAAAACCTGTCTCAAAACCTACTGCAGTTTCTCTGCTAGGCTTCGTCCAATATGATATAAAACGAAACACGTAGAATATGCATCTTTTTGCAAGTGTTCATACAACAATAACAGCATTCGATTATGTTATCCTTACCGTAACCAAACGTTTGAAGGTTGCTCCTGGAGTTACCAAAGGAGAGTTAAAATTGAGTGAAAGAAACTATTAGGAGAGTGGAGATGCAGAGGTCCAGGGAATGAATTTTAAAGTGTAGCAAATGGATATCTCAAAAAAATCCATCACTGCTGCCTCAAGAAAGTGGAGAATTGCAGAAGAGGCTATAACCTTAGGATGGTGGTTTTGGGGATGTAGGACAGTTGTTGTACAACTGTAAGATCAGGAAAATCCATGATGAGATTGAATTAAGAGGATGATAATTATAAATTGGAGAACCTAGAACCAATATGGGTCAATATGCAGACGGCAATTGGGAAATAGCATTAGGTGTAAAGCAGGAAACAACCATTGGAGTTTTTGTTGAGTTTAGGTTTATGTGAGTTAGAAGTTGGAATAGTTGTATCTGCTGTTACAAAAGGAGTGCACCTGCTGTGACAAAGGAGTGCATGAGTTTAAGTGGGCTAAGGCAGGAAGTGTGATAATATAACAAAGCTGGGAGGAAGCAAGCATCATCAGTGATGGAGCCAGAAGCTCAGCTTGGGATCAAATTAAATACCCACATTATAAAAGGGTGTGTGCTTCAGCCTGAGACAGAGGCTGGGATACGGGATGTAATAGGAACTATCGGGGTTTGTAATGAGGAACAAAGACATGAGTCTTCAAATGCTTTACAGAAGGAAATTATGACTCATCCAGAGTGAGCAAGTAATTAACACAGAGGGAGGGGGTGAAATTGCTCCACCTGCAGAGTTTTAGTGTAAAGTGATTTGGCTATTAGTAGTCAATTGATTTTTTTTTCCTGGAGAGACAGTTATTCATTTATAAAAATATAATGAATCAATGCAACATATTCAGACTTATCAAGAATCTTAGCATTACATTCTGAGGTAGATTTTCAAATTGCTGCCAGTGCTTTAAACCTGGTGCCAAATGAAACTTATTTTCATAGAATCCCCACAGTGTGGAAAGAGGCCCTTCAGTCCAACAAGTCTACACTGACACTCAGAACATCCCACCCAGACTCATCCCCTTATAACCCATCTACACATCCCTGAACACTACGGGCAATTTAACATGGCCAATCCACCTAGGCTGTGCATCTTTGGACTGTGGGAGGAAACCAGAGCACCCGGAGGAAACCCACGCAGACACAGGGAGAATGTGCAAAGCCACACAGATAGTTACCCGAGGGTGGAATTGAGCCTGGGTTCCTGGCGCTGTAAAGCAGCAGTGCTAACCACTGAGCCACCGTGCCGCCTCGATAAAGTTTATGAACCAGCTGTACAATCATCTTTTATATGTCACAGCAGCAAGTTTGAGAATCTATCATTGAAATATAGATGAAGAAGGAAGATAAATTCCCTTTATTGAGTGAGAGGAAGAGATGATGAAGAGCCAGTGGATGGGGAATACTGCAGAAAGAAAACCATATTCTTCCTCCCAACAGTGCAGTTTCAACTCCAATAACACACAACCTTTTGACAATCAGGCAGCTGAAGGTAATTTGCACTCTAAGTGCGCTCCCTAAACGTGGTCTTTTTAACCAAGCCTGATGAGTACAAACTCATACGATTGGACCAAACACTGATCTTACACCACTCCAACCACTACTACTCTGCACAAGCTTCACAGGAGAGCCTGGCTTGAGCCAGGCCAAAGCATTAAAGGTTTGTGCAAAGGCAGTTGAAGTGTTGGAGAGAACACATAAACATTCAAACACTTCATATATCTGATCTTCCAGGCACTCCCTCTTCCCTGCATGTATCCTAGATTATAGTTCATCTGCTGGATGTATTAGCCATCTCAGAATCCATTGACCCAGACTAGAAGTAAATCATTATCAATCCCGTGTGCAAAAGACTACAGTCATAGGCATTGATTGTCAGCCAAAGGTTTGGTAAATGAGGAGTTTAAAGATTTCAGTTTGTTCTTAAAATCTAATCTAGAATGCAAGAAATATTACTGGAACGTTCTGTGTTTTTTTATATCAGTCTGTAAGCAGACTAAGTTGCTTTCTTCCAGCTGAGTCAGGGTAAACACACTCTGCTTTAAGAACTGATTAGTTAATTAGTTATGTAATCAGATAAATGTTTGAATTGTGCTTCTTTAAGCCCAGTTCAGCTGACTATTAATACAGGAATCCTGTGTATAGCCAAAGACAAATTAGTTCAATTAAGAAAACTGAGAACAATCCTGAGAGAGATTGGTGAGTGTACAGCTCAGTGAAGAAGAGGAAGGAGGTAACTGTTTCTTTTAATTTTAGCCTCTCTGCCCTTCTGTCCCTGAAAGAACAGGTCCTTGCTCTACAATAGGGAAAGGAATTATTTTGTGAGTATCTGGTAAATGGTTAAGTACTATTCTATTAAATTTAACACAGTGTACTAAAACGGTGATAAAGTTGATTCAATATATACAAACAACATAAATAAGTGAGTAAAAATTACTTATTAAGGACAGCAGGATAGGTGATGTGTCAAGGCTGCAGCAGGTGGGAGCTGGATACCATTGTGATCCATTTGCAGCAAATGTTTGAAGTTTGAGCAGCAGCAGTTCAGAGTTTATGAGCAGGAGGCTGAATTTCAAACACTGTAACACATGTGATAAAAGTGCCACATCAAAGGTCATCGCAGAAACTAAATATAACTCAGTATGGATAGAAGATGGGCTGGTCAGCAGACGGAAAGGAGAATATGCATGAATATGTCTTTCTCTGTTGACAGGGTGTGACAAGTAGACTTTGGCAAGGGTTTGTATTGGGGCTTAGCTTTTTTTAAAAAACTTACATCAATAACTTAGAGAAGGACAGAAAAAAAAGTAGCTAAATTTACAAACAATGCAAAGGTAGAAAGTATGTTGTGCAGAAGATGTAGGGAGTTTGCATGAGTGAGTGACAAAAAGCTGGTAGATATAGTGGGAAAAATGTGACAATGTTGACCTTGGCAGGAAGAATGAAAATGCAGAGTGTTTGTTAAACACAGAACAACCGCAGAAATCCAGAGTGTAAAGGGCTTTACATGTTCTAATGCAGGAGTTAGAAAACATTATGCAAGTACAGCATGTAATTAAGAGTTCTGATGGGATGCTATCCATTAATATGAGAGAGATTGAACGTAAAGGTAAAGAAAGAAAAACAGAATTTGCTGGAAAATTGCAGGTCTGGTGAGAAAGCAGAGTTAATGTTTCAGGTCCAGTGACCCTCCTTCAGAACTGATTTTAGCTCAGAAAAGGTTGGCATATGTGCTGAATGTGAGGTGAGTGAGCATGGGGGAGTAAACAATAGGTGGAGACGGAGCGCAGAGAGAGAAAGAGAAAAACAACTGGGTAAAGGTCAGCTTGGGAGAATATGAAGCTGCTAATGGGGACCATTAGTGGCTGACAATGATTGTTTGTGGCAGCAACTCCTGTGATGACAAGGTCTGGTGTGTGGGGATTGGGGAGAGGACATTGGAGGAGGTGCTCAGACTCTTAAAAACATTGGACTTGATATTGAGCCCTGAAGGCTACAGAGTCCCCAAGTGGAAAATGAGATGCCGTTCTTCTAGCTTCGCAGGAGCACTGCAGCAAGCCTGAGTCAGAAATGTTGGTCAAGGAGCATGGTGGTGTGTTGAAGTAGCAGACAACAGGAAGTTCAGGTCATTTTTGAGGCCAGAACTTAAATGTTCTGCAAAACGGTCATCCAGTCTGCATTTTGTCTCCCCAATGTGAAGCAGACCACATTTTGAGCAGTGCATATCGTAGACTAGATGGAGTGAAGTGCAGGTAAATTGCTGTTTTACCTGGAAGGTGTGTCTGTGACCTTGGATGGTGAGGAAGGAGGAAGTAAAAATTCTGTTTTTCTTTCTTTACCTTTATGTTCAATCTCTCTCATATTACACCTGCTGCAATTGCAGGGGAAGATGCCACGGTGGGGTGGGGTGGGGAGGGGCTGGGAGTGAAGGAAGGGTGGACCTGGGTGTCCGCGTGGAATGGTCCTTGCAGAATGCTGACAAGTGAGGGAAGGGGAATATGTGTCTGGAGGTGGTGGAAGTGGCAGATGATTATCCTTTGGAATGTGCATATTGATGGGCTGGCAAGTGAGGACAAGGGAGAATGCTATTGCTATTTCAATGGGCATCCATAAAACCTAATAAAGGAGTTCATTGTCAAACACCTCCAAGAGCTAAGGGAGAGTAACTTTTTGAACAAATGTCTCGTGAACGTGAAGGCCTGCTGAGATGTGAAATGACTGAACTGTTCTTATGGATTTAAAGTGAGAGAAGTCATTCAGATGGGTAACGGGATTCATTTGACCAGAATAATTATACACTTTATGATATAGGTCAACGTTATGCATGACACCAATAACTCCGTTTTGAATGGGTCAAGGGACTACAACTTCTGAAAGTGTGCTGTCTGTACACCTGTCACTATTGACACTTCTATATCATCCATTTTCCTGAGCAGCTTTGACCTGAAGTTATTGGGTAGAACCTTTGCAGCCCCTGAAAAATATGGGCAATCCTGTGTCATTTGGGAAAATATGGCAAGACCAGAAAAATGAGACACTTGATGTCAGGAAAAATATTCCTATTTTCCAGTCAAGGTTTTAACAGTGAGATGAGAGTGAGCAGCAAGAGATCTATTTCCATGTATCAACATTTCATTATTGAAACAACTCCTCAGGGGCTTGTATTTCATCACCAAGTCATCCTTTATTTACACGTACATAGTATTTGACACTGGTTTGGCTTCCTCAGAGCCTGCTCTCAGAGTAAGCAGAACCTCTGACAGTCCTGTTTATATCTGTCAACCAGGGTTCCCTAATTGGACCAGGTTAACAGCCCCAATCAGGGAATTCATATTCTGACATAACAAGGTGTAGAGCTGGATGAACACAGCAGGCCAGGCAGCATCAGAGGAGCAGGAAAGCTGATGTTTCGGGTCTGGACCCTTCTTCAGAAATCTTCCTGCTCCTCTGATCCTGCTTGGCCTGCTGTATTCATCCAGCTCTACACCTTGTTATCTCAGACTCCAGCATTGGCAGTTCCTACTATCTCATATTCTGTGAGGCCCACCTGGCTGACTTCATCACTACAATCTCATCTCATTTCTGTGCAGTTTGATATTTCACCAGGCAGCAGAGAGAAACTAGATGCCAATAATTTATAATATGAATATCTGACTAGGTGCCTGGCTGTTGATCTCATTGCTTGCTCCTCTGGGCCTCCATCTAGGGCAGAAGTCCCAAACGTAGGCTGGGGCTATTTTCCTGGGACCATCAGAGGCTGAAGGGTGACCTTATAGACGTTTGTGCAATCATGAGGGGCATGGATAGGGTGAATAGTCAATAGGGTAGGGAAGCCCAAAAGAAGAGGGCATAGGTTTAAGGTCAGAGGGAAATGATTTAAAAGGGACCTGAGGTGCACCTTTTTCATGCAGTGGATGGCGTTTGTATGGAATGAGCTGCCAGCGGAGGTGTTGGAGTCTGGTACAATTGTAACATTTAAAAGGCATCTGGATGGGTACATGAGTAGGAAGGATTTACAGAGATATGGGTTAATCACTTTAGGATATCTGGTCAGTGCGGATGAGTTGGACTGAAGGGTCTGTATACTGTGCTGTGTAACTCTCTAACTCTATCTTGGGGCACACTCATGGGCAGCAACCATCTGCAATTTTCATTCACTGATGTTGGAATTGAATGCATATAAGCCCCACTATATCACATGGCATGTCTCCCACTCATTTATAACACAGTGCACCACTTCAGTACTGCACTTTAGATTGCATAAATATACTTAAATGCAATGCTACTACTGGGTCACATTGTGTGCAGGGACAGACACGCACCTCATGCTTTGGAAGGGTGTGCATCTCAGGGTCCCTGGTTTGCTCTCTTAGCGCTCATTCACTGCTCAAGCTTCACTGGGTCAGCCAGCATGTGTTGTCATCCAAAGTTGCCTTTGATAACATGGCGGTGATCTGCCTTCTTGAACCTTTGTAGTGCAGTAGGGACACCAAAAAGTGCTATAAGGAAAGGAGTTTCATGAATTTGACTGAGTGATACTGAAGGAACAGTGATACATTTCCAAGTAAGGATGGTGAGAGGCTTGGAGGAGAACTATCGCAGGTTGTGGTCTTTCCATATCCCTGTTGCCTTTGCCTTTTTAGATGGTGGTGGTGAAATGTTTGAAAACTGTTATCAAAGGAGCTTTGGACTTCTCCAGTTTATTTGGAAAGGTATTACAGACTGCTGTTCCTGAGTATCGGTGCTGGAAGGATGTGGTGTCCATCAAGTGGGCTGTTTTCTCCTGGATGGTGACAAGATTCTTGGGTGTTGTTGGAGCTGCATTCATCCAGGTAAATGGGGAGTATTCCATCGCTCTCCTGACGTGTGCTGTGTAGATGGTGGACTGGATTTGTGTAGTCAACAGGTGAGTTACTTGCTGCAGGATTCAGAGTATTTGACCTTCTCTTGGAGCTCAAGTACCTATAGGCCTAGTCCAGTTTTGTTTCTGGTCAATCATAACCACCAGAATGCTGATAGTGAGGTATTCAATGTTGGTAATGCCATTGAATGTCAAGGGCTGATGATTAGATTCTCTTTCTTGTTGGAAACAGTCATGGCCTGAAACATGAATCTAGCTTGCCACTGTCAGCTCAAGCCTGGATAGTGTCCAGGTCTCACTGCATTTGGACTTAGATTGTTTCAATATCTGAGGAGTTACAAATGGTGCACATGAGGAAGTCACAGCTGAAGGACCCTTCACAATGCTCAGTAAGGTCAGGAGGCCCAGATTCCAACTTTCCCAATGCAGCTTCCTGAACAAAGCATATTAGCACCACAGGCTGGCAATGTCCCATGGATTTTTGTTATCTGCTGAAGTAGGACACTTGACCTGAAGGTATGGGTGACCATTCTATCCTGGTGCTTGTCATTGTCAGAGCTGTGCTAATTTTTTTGATCTTGGCTGCTTCTAAGGATCCACATGAAGTCTTCCAATCCTCAACCCACAAATATACGAAGTCTGTTACTGATGTTCCAGATCACACTGCTTTATCTGGTTTCCCCGTGACGAGATCAGTGCTGCAGTCTGAATAATGGGATTTTCCATTCAGGATGAATTCCATTGAGTGTAAGGCACTATGGACTTTCTACATGTTCCATTGAGATCACCAAATTGTAATGTGGCTGACCTAATGAACTGGAAGTCTTCTATTCAGTAAATGTACAAATTGTCTGTGATCATTAGTTCTGCAA